GAGCAGCTCGGACAGCAGCTCTGCCACCCATCACAGCATGGGACATGGGCTCAGATGGCTGTCATTCATCTTAAGCCATAGAGCAGGCTGTTCCCTCCAACACCCCAAAGACTTCATCCTGCCAGGTGAAGAGCTGTCTACAATCTCCTGATTTAAGTAGGAGTGGAGGGTTGCTTGGCATCTCTCAGGAACAAGCATCAATGTGTTTGGGTTTGTTGTGGAGTGTCAGGAAAGGGATGGCTCAGATTTTACCAGGGTGGGCTGTTGTAGGAGAAGGTGCTGAGATACCTCCTGTAGGACCTTCTACAGCGCTGTCAGCCCTAATACCTTCCCAGTGGTTTGGGTTTTTTTTTGTTTGCTTTTTGTTTGTTTGTGTTTTTGTTTTTCCCCTTCATCTTTTCTGCTAATTTGTGCTCTATTGAATTGCTGTCAAGGGGGAAGGTTTTCATACTGGTTGAATTTATACCTCAATGACTCAGCAGTGGACTCAACCAGAAACTCAGTTGCCCTGAGGAGTTATGGATGGAAGAAACGATTGTGCCTCTGTGTGTGTGTTGGCAAGGGACAACTTCTTCCCCAACCTCAGCTATTCACACACTTTGATTTAGGAAACCCTGAAGGAAGCTTTCTTCCTTCCTCCTTACTTTCGCTGAGCAGAAGCAGGATGAGGTGTTGTGAGGTCTCTGCTCATTGGTCACAGCTACCATACGTTAGCAATACCAGTGCAAGGGAATCTGGAGCTGCCAGTGAAGATGCACAGGGACTGAGGTGAGCATCTGTGGGGTGAGCACCAAATGCAGCTGCGGGGCTCAGTCAGAACCAGCCCAAGGAGACAGTTCCTCCTGCAGTGTGTAGATGAACTCCCAGATACATGGCCAGAGGATGTCATGGTGGAGAAAAGCTTCCCATGGAGACTGAATGAGCTCAAGAAGAGGAGGTTCACTGGGGATTAATAAGTATGCAGAGACTAAACATGTTTATGTAGACATGGGAGAAACAGCATATATACTCATCCTGTTCTTAGTTTTACTAAGGGCCAGATGTACATGTGGTCAGATGCAGCTCAGCTGCAATCATGTCCTTATACACTCCTCTAGCTTCTTGGCAGCTGACTTAAGCTGAACCTTATCTGGCCAGGCCACAGACCCTAAGAATGCCCATCCTGTAACTGTATGCCATGAGTGTTCATAGAGAATACCGAATACTTCCCTCTTGGTTGTCATTAACAGAATGAGAGGAAAAATGTTACGTGATGTTAGGTCAAGATGTTTAGACGCAGCTGCTGGCACATGAAACAACATTGCTTAAACACACTAGGCGAAGTTTCCACACTAACCATGACAGCTAAATGCTCTCCCTTGGTTCTTCATGTGCAAGGTGTGTGCACTAAAGCCTGCTTTCCTGGTGTAGGCTGTATGGCGCTGGGTGACCGGGTGCATGGCTAGAGGATGTCATGGGTGGAGAAGAGCTTCCAGGGGGAACTGAGTTCATGAACAAGAAATTCACTGGGCTGGGTAGTGACAGCCTCACTGGCATTCTGCTCCCACCAGACTAGATGTGTCCAGTGTCCTGCCACCTGCTTGTAATCCAGAGCCTCTTGCTCAATGGTAGGTGTGGAGCACAACACAAATTAATAAGCTTACTGGACATGGCACTGCCCTGCAGAACCACTGCAGGGATTGTCAGAGGTACAGGGAGAACAGTCAGAGGACATACCGGGGAGTTTAGGTGTTGGATGGTGGGAAACGTGACATGCCCATGTTATTGGAGTGTCAGCTAGAAGATACTGCTGGCAGTATCCCCAGGCATATCTTGGTTGTTACTGGGAAGTTAGTACTAAAATGATCTCCTTTTTACTACTTTCAGCTATTTCTGAGCATTTCCTCCTGTTCTGTAATCCCATTTAAGGTTAAAGTCTGTAATCACTTGAAAATAAAGAGGCCAAAGCCCCCTTCTAGTGCACCCTGAGAGAGCAGGCTGGTTTTCCTGCTCCCACAGAGGATCTTTGTTGTCTCCTTGCTCCAGAGGAAACCCACAAGGCTGAACCTTATGCAACACATTTGGCAAACGAGGCTGTGGTGGGATTGTGGCTTTGTGACCAGATGAAGTGACACAGGGTGGGAAAGTCCCCAGAACTTACACCAAGAGCTAAAGGACAGACACAGAAAGAAGATTGATGTTGAGGTGGCGTGAAACAAAATCTATGAACACAGCGATAGGCTCTAAGGGGGAAAATGTCACATTAGGGAACAGCAAAATCACTCTGCTGTCCCATAGGGGTCTGGCATAGCTCTACCAGAGAGGGAACAACCCAGAAGGTTAGAGAAATTCAATCACTGAATGTTATGGTTAGTGTTACACAGGAGGCCAGTCTCCAGATGGGGTTGAACTCATCAAATTTTAAGCTGTATAGTATTTAAGGATTCTCCACAGGATTCTGGATAGATCCCAGTATAGGCAATGGAGAAAGTTTTGTATCTCTGAGGAATATTTCTCCCAGCCTGTCCCACAGGTAGAGGCTTTTCTTGTTTGGAAATGCCTACCTTTCTTCATTAACTGAATAATCTAGACAGCCACTTAGTTTAGGCACCTAATTTACAAATGGCTGAAGTTGGTGGGATGAACATCAGTGTAGATAAGAATGAGTTCTTCCAGCCTTCTTCATCTGATTCATTCTATAAATATTCTCCTGCACCACATTTAAGAAGAAACAAAAGTTGTTTTCACCATGTGAGTAACAATAAGAAGTACTTGACAAGACTATAGAGGACCTCAAGTCCTTTGTGCTGTATTGTAGACTGAAGAATTACCAATGTGGACTACTTTCTTCTTTCCTTTGCAACTAACAGAAGAAACGGATTTCCAAGAATTCTGGTTTTAATGTAAATGTTTCACTATTTTTTTTTTTGAGATGTCAGCTAATTTATGGAACTGGAATTTTAAAGGCAGCTTGCATATACAAAATCTAATTACAAATGACTTTTGTGTACCTTCTGCAGCAGGTGTCAAGCTTTTCTGAATACAAATCCCCATTTTCTCTGTGGAAATGTTCCTTATTTTCGTGATGGGGATAATTGTGGGGTCTCATTGGTCTAAAATGCTCTTCAGGGAAAGGCAGAGAGAGTCACCCCCAGTGTACACAGACTGGAGCCAATGTCATAGAAATTGAATTAATCTGAAGGAAGAACAGTCTCTGGTATGAATAAATTGAGACTCCAAGAGCAAAGATAGGATGAGGCAGTTGCTCGTCTGGGACTGGAAATCACAATTGCCACTTCGCTGCCCATGGAGCCCTACTGCAGTGAGTGGGGCAGTCCTGTCCACTGGCTATTCTTCATACTGGGGCATTGAGTCAGTGACATCCTGAGGAAGATGTCAAAATTGAAACCTTATAAGTAATCCAAGGGGTTTCCATGAAGAAGTTACAAGAACAGCTTGAATATTTCAAACTAGGCATGTGCTTCAGAAAAAGGTGAAAGTCCCTCATTCTGGGATGATGAGGACATTAGAGATTGCCATGTTCCAGTCATAGGTTTATATCCTTCTCATATTTCATTTGTCAATGACCTACATCAGAGATCTCCTTTCTAAGTCTTTTCTATATGGAAATCTTTCCATGTTTCTGCTCTAGATCTTTTTTCTTGAGAAAATGAACATGGGCCAGCAGTGTGTGCTTGCAGCCCAGAAAGCCAACCGTATCCTGGGTTGCATCAAAAGGAGCGTGACCAGCAGGTCGAAGAAGGCGATCCTGCCCCTTTATTCTGCTCTCGTGAGACCTCACTTGGAGCACTGTGTGCAGTTCTGGTGTCCTCAACATAAAAAGGACATGGAACTGTTGGAACAAGTCCAGAGGAGGGCCACGAGAATGATCAGGGGACTGGAGCACCTCCCATATGAATATCGGCTGAGGAAGTTGGGGCTGTTCAGCCTGGAGAAGAGAAGGGTGTGTGGAGACCTCAGAGGAGCCTTCCAGTATCTGAAGGGGGCATATAGAGATGCTGGGGAGGGAGTCTTCATTAGGGACTGTAGTGACAGGACAAGGGATAATGGGTTAAAACTTAAACAGGGGAAGTTTAGATTGGATATAAGGAGGAAATTCTTTCCTGTTAGGGTGGTGAGGCAATGGAATAGGTTGCCCAGGGAGGTTGTGAATGCTTCATCCCTGGCAGTGTTCAAGGCCAGGTTGGACGAGGCCTTGGGTAATATGGTTTAGTGTGAGGTGTCCCTGCCCATGGCAGGGGGTTGGAACTTGATGATTTTAAGGTCCTTTCCAACTCTAACTATTTTATGATTCTATGATTCTATGTTACACATTTTCTGAGGGCTGGAGATTCAAACTGTTTGAGGCCAGGGAGTGATGCTATGTACACAATGGCATTTTAGCACTTTCAGTCATGTTTTCTAGTCTTTTCCTAAGAATGACGTAGTCTCTGTTGGCCACCAAGACCTTGAAGCTACAAAGGAATTTAGCACATGACTCAGAGAACAAATCTCTGAATTTCCCTTTGGAGGTGTTCTTTCCTCAGCACACCTCATTTCTGTCTTGCTGAGAAGCCAGTTTACTTTCACTGAGGTCTGCAGAACTTTTTACAGTTTCCTGATGGGTTTATATGTATAATATACAAAAAATGTAACTATAGCTAGAATAGAAGGTGGCATGGAACAACACTGCTCAGGTATTTCTGGTGAGGAAAGAAGGATGTGCTGTCAATCTCAAATCACAAAAGGGATACAGGAAGAAAAATGAAATTTCTCTGGAATAACTCAGCCAGAAACCCAAAGCTGATGAGCTTTTTCCTACTATGTGCAGGCTGAAATCCTCCACTGTCCCGGCCTGACGTGGTCTTCACTTAAGTCCTTTGTTCTCAGGGTGCTGTCAGACAGAGGCAGGGTGTTCACTTCATAGCACTTCATGAAAAAATAGAGAAGACAAAGGAGTATTTTGTTATGTTCAATGCTCCTTATGGCACCTGATTGTTGGTCCACCATTTCCATTCCAGGTTAGCCAAAGGAATTCAGGAAGACTGATTCTTCCAGTAGGATACTTGAGCACTTTTTGCCCTCACACATGGAAAAATCTTCTGGGACTTTCTTTTCTGGCAGATGTGAATGTACTAAGCTCACACTTGGAATCTCACTGGGGAGAAAGGGCGCTCCTAATTATCTCCTACTCCAGGACAGTCTGTCTTCAAAGAGGTCCATTGCTCTGAGCAGGGTGGAGTAAAGCTCTGGAGGTGTGGAGCTGCCTCTTTTTCTCAGCTTTTACAAGGATGTGTGCAACTCTCTCAGAAACACTACTCTGACTCAGGCAGAATAAGTGCTGCTGTCTCTGAGGAACTGTGATGAGGTATCAGAGACAGAAGATAATGATGCAGTATGTTTTAAATGCAATCAATCTGTATGACTTAAGACAAAAAAGCGTCATTCACACTTGTACACATCCAGTTGGCAAAGTCTGTGATACCCATGGAACAGCCCACATAGTTGGATCCTTTCTCAAGCACTAAAACCATACCAAGAAGAAAAGAATTTAACTTGTTCTGTTAGCCTGAAAACATGTGAGTTTTTAGGACTATTAATTAGTATCCTGAACATATGGCAACTCCTTGCATTGCCTGGGGAAGCTCTTGGCTTTCCAGTAGAAAATCTGTTAAACCAGTAATGAGGGACTGGGTGTATAAAGTGTTTATGAGTCTCCCATCTGTAGGCCAGACAGAAACATCTCATACCAAGTATTTTGCAGTATCATCAACCCATCTGCAGAACTGTCTGGTTGACCCCAGGTACACAATGAACTTGGCAAGAAGCAAGAAAGAAACACAGATGACAGGGGGAAAGGGGAGAGGTGAAGAGAGGAAGATGGGTGTGAAAGGAAAAGATGTAAGGTGAGGAATGTAAATAAGCCAGTTCAGATATCGCAGAACTGACATCATTACATTTCTTCACCCAAGTCCTTCACTCTCAAACTGATCAACTAATTAGACAGAGGCATTTTGCAACTCCCTCAGACTACTGCATTAAAATAATATTTTTTCACCTAGTCTGGTCAAATTCTGAGGAGGACTCCAGTGACGTGCTGGCAAGGGGAAGTGTTAGTGCATGGTATGACCAGATATGTGAATGGAGGGACCCAATTTTTACTGGTGAAGGAAATAAACAGCAAAGTCATTTTTGTTTTAATTTTTTTAATTTCTCTTCTTTTTTGTCTTTGGACAGTGCTGAGCTTCCCACCCTCTGCAATGCTGTCAGCCTGAACCATGCAGACATCTGGTGTGCAAGCAAATTATAGCCAAGGCAAATTCTGTCATGTAGTTAAATTTGTCATTCTCTCTGTCTTGCTTGCTTGCATCCTCTTGTTCTTTCTTCCTCACTTGCTTTCTCTCTTTCTTTCTCACTCTTTCTTTATTTCTTAATTATTTTTTCTTTATCCAGCACCTGTCTTTGTAATAAATTAGTGGTCCAGCAGCCTTGGATTAATCCCAGAGGGAAAGAATTGGAAGGCTACAGTGTGATGACAACCCCATGGCTAACAGCTAGACTCATAAAGCCCTTTCTCATTAAAGCGTTTCAGTTTTTATGATGGAAACCAATCCATCACAGTCAGCCATGAGGTCTTAAATACATTTTCATTTTTACTAAAAAGGCGCTGACCGTGACATTATATGGTCAACATACTCTCAACATGCTTCATGATCTTTAAATGGCAGGGATGTTTACAACAGCTCATGAAATCACTGACAGCTGTAAATACCACACAACAGTCCTCACTCTTTTCTGATTACTGAAACAATGATTCTGGGTGGGAGAGATATGTAGATCCGGTGGGTTTTATTTAGTCTGGACAGAACTGGCCTGAAGTTTTACAGTAGGAGGACAGTTCAGAGTCCCCCTTCAGATTGCCTTTTATGTCACACTTTATCTGTGTGACAGAGCTCTACTAAAAAGAGAGGGGATGTAGGCAAAGACCTCCTTTTATTGAACTCTAGCTCCAGTGACAACACTACTAGTGCCTTTTAAAGGCTGTTTCCAGGAAGGAAGGGGAATCACCTGTAACTATTTCCCAGCCTGCTCTTCCCCATCTTATTCTTTAAAGAACATTTTTGCAACCTCAGCTTTTCTGTAGAATATATTTTCTGTGTTTGAAAGTGAGGGAGAGGATAAATTCATCACATTTAAAATGAATGTTATGAATGGGGTTTATTTATACTCATTGGTGTTCAAGTTCATTCATAAGCCACCACTACTATTCAATAAACTATATTAGCAAAAAGATAGCCCTCTGTATCAGAAGGGACAGAAAAAATGATACAGAGATATTGAACAATGAGAACAATGAAACACAGTGATTAGGTACCTCAGGCCATCAGAGATTTAACAAGTGCTTAGACTGCCTTCAATGTTATGAAGAAGGGAAGTTTTCAAGTTGGATTTCAAAGGAGATAACATAACTTTTTAGATATTCATAGCAGGCTTCCTTAAAGGATGTGGGAACAAAATATGGAGTGTCTGAAAATATAAAAAAACTTCACCTAAAAGATGATTCTCATTCATAATTGATTTTTAAACTTTTTAAAAAATTATTAATATGAAAACATGATTGCTGTCTGGCTCACTGCTGATCCTCCCACATGCCCAGTGCATCATAGCAGTCTTGGCTTGGCTGTGCGTTCCAGCTGAGCTGGAGTGTGGCAAGAGCTGGGTGGTATGAGCAGGGCAACCAAGAGAAATATGGATTCTTATTGGCCTTACAGATCTTCAAAGTACTGTATGAACTGAGACGGATGCTGGTGATTGGGTTAGGAGCAAGTCTGAATCATTGCTACCAGGGTTCCCCAAAAGGTTGTGGGATCAATAACTAAAGTACATCTACATCAATGCATGCAGCATGGGCAACAAACAGGGAAAACTATGACATAGATGCCATCATGGAAACATGGTAGGATTGCTAGTGCAACTGGAGTGCTGCCATGGATGGCTATAAACCCCTCAGAAAGGATAGGCAAGGGAAGAGAGGTGGTAGGGTAGCCCTGTGTGCTGGGGGGTGTTTTGATTGTCCGGAGCTTAATGATGGTGATGATAGCATTGTGTGTTTATGGAAAAGAATCAGGGGGAAGGCCAACAAGGCAGATATCATGGTGGGAGTCTGTTATAGATCACCCAGCCAGGATGAAGACACAGATCAAATAGTCTATAAGCAGCTGGGACAAGTCTTGCAATCACTAATCCTTGTTCTCGCAGGGGACTTCAATTTACCAGATGTCTGCTGGAAAAGCAATACAGCAGAGAGAAGATAGAGAGGGCTTGGAGCAGAAGAGCTCCAAGGGCTAGGAGCCAACTAGGGAAAGTGCCCTTCTGGACTTGTTTTTTTGTAAGCAGAGGAAGACTTGTGGGTAATCTGGTGGTTGGAGCCAATCTTAGACATAGTGATCACAAAATGACAGTTTTCAGTTCTCAAAGAGGTAAGGAAAGGGGCCATCAGAACTCTTACACTGGACTTCTGTAGAGCTGATTTTGGCCTGTTTAGGAGACTGGTTGACAGAGCCCCTTGGGAAGCAGTCCTGAAAGGCAAAAGGATCCAAGAATGCTGGACATTCTTCAAGAAGGAATGCTTAAAGGTGCAGGTCTTCCCCATATGCCAAAGGACAAGCCAGTGTCCTTTGGAAAAAGACTAGCCCGGCTGAACAGAGACCTTTGGCTGGAACTGAGGAGAAAAAGGAGCATTTATGACCTTTGCAATAAGGGGCAGGCAACTTGAGGACTACAAGGGTGTTGTGAGTTATGCAGGAAGAAAATTAGAAGGGCCAATATGCAACTAGAACTTAATCTGGCTACTGCCAAAAAAGGCACTAAAAAAATTTCTATAAATATATTAAGAGAAAAAGGAGGTGTAAAGAGAATCTCCATCCTCTATTGGATGCACATGGGGGAGCATAGTGAAAGAGGATGAGAAAAAGGCTAGGATATTTAATGTTTTCTTTGCCTTAGTCTTTAATAGAAAGACCAGTTGTTCCCCGGCTACCCAGTGTCATGAGCTGGAAGACAGGGAAAGGAAGCAGAATGAAAATGGCATAGTCCAAGGAGAAATGGTCAGCAACTTGTTACACCACTTAGGAATCTACAAGTCTATGGGGCTGGATGGGATCTACCCACGGGTACTGAGGGAGCTGGCGGAAGTGCTTACCCAGTCACTTTCAGTCATTTATCAGCAGTCCTGGTTAACTGGGGAGGTCCCAGTTGACTGGAGGTAAACAAATGTGGTACCAATCTACAAGAAGGGGCAGAAGGAGTATCCAGGGAACTACAGGCCTGTCAGTCTGTCCTCAGTGCCACTAACATTGTGTTCAGTTTTGGGGCCCCTCACTACAAGAAAGACATCAAGGTGTTGTAGCGTGTCCAAAGAAGGGCAATGAAGCTGGTGAACAGACTAGAGAACAAGTCCTGTGAGGAGCAGCTGAGGGAACTGGGGTTGTTTAGCCTGGGGAAAAGGAGGCTCAGGGGAGACCTTCTGACTCTCTACAACTACCTGAAAGGAGGTTGTATCGAGATGAGGGTTGGTCTCTTCTTGCAAGTAACAAATGATAAGGCAAGAGGAAATGGCCTCAAATTGCACCAGGGGAGGTTTAGACTGGATATTAGGAAAAATTTATTCACCAGAAGGGTTGTCAAGCATTGGAGCAAGCTGCATAGGGAAGTGGTTGAGTCACCATCCCTGGAGGTATTTAAAAGATGTGTAGATGTGGCATTTAGGAACATGGTTTAGTGGTGGACTTGGCAGTGTTAGGTTAACAGTTGGACTCAATGGTCATAAAGGTCTTTTCCAACCTCAATGATTCTATGATTCTATGATCTCATCCAAAAAGAGTAAACAAGATTTGCCCAGATATAACTTTTCTTCAAAACTGCCAGTTTTATTGATTGCAACACCAGAAGAGCTAACTTTTGATCATGGAGAGTGAACTTTATTTGCTCTTCTTTTCGCTGAGGTTCCAAGCTGAGGTTTTGTTGCCAGTGGGTGGAGTGGTGAAACTTATATTGCATCTACTATGGATAAACAGAGGACCTCTACTTCCAGGGCTGTCAATTGAACTGTTTTCACACTACAGAGAGCACTTTACCAATCCCCCCCAAAAAAGTGAAATGTGATCTTGCTGGAATGGGGATGTATCCGAAAGAACTGTGCTTTGGATTGTACAGCCTTCACAAGGAGTCAGGACAAATATCCAGACTTCAATGTAAGACCAATCAGAGTTCCTCAGTCCCTGTGGAGATGAGATATAGCACTGGAGAATGTACAGATGTGGAGACATTTTGATGCATTTCTGAAAAGACAAATTACTTTCATGCTGCTATATTTCAGAATTCACTCCATCTCTTTATCAAAAATATGATGCAAAAAACAATTGTCACTTCATTTTAATTTCTCAATCTGTCTGGAGGGTGAAAGGCAAAATCATCTAGTAGATGAGGTAACAACAGTGCCTAACAAGTGTTGGGGAAGACTTGGAGAGATTAAAACACTGAATTAAAAATCATCAATTAAGTAAGAGTCTGAAGGAAAGCGCTATAATAGACTGAGATCTTGAAATAGCTTGTATTTATTTATCATTGCAATAAGGTTGATTAGTACAAGGGAGATTCCAGCCTCATCCAGTAGAATAGAGAACAAAATGATGAGTACCCAACTAACCCTGTATGAATAAAAACATTCCACAGAAGCAAGAATCTATAGGATACAAAACAGATGGAACTTCAGTTTCTTATTCTTGTCCCCCTTTTTCTGCAGGGAAGAATCACTCTGTGAAAAAGGTAAGGCTGGAGTAGTAAAAGGCTGGAATATGATCTACATCCATGGAGCTGACTTTTGTGTGTGGACAGAGGACGTGAGAACAGACAAGACCATCTCCATAGCTAAGGGCATTGAAATGACAAAGCCCGTTTTTCAGGGATATCTCAACCAATTTCAGCTAACCAGTGTGGCCTGCTCAGGCCAATATTATGGACAGCAGTAAACAAGAGGACACTGTGTCTCATCAGTCTCATGGATATAACTTTCTGCTTACAGCTGTATTTGGCAAAGGCCTGTAGGTGGTTATGGACTTTGAGTCAGTGGCTGGGCTTGGATGGGAGCCTTCTGGCTCACAGTTCTGCACTCTAACCATCTAATCTCTCAGCCCAAGGGAAATTGCGGTGTCCCTGTTGGCCCTTGGTAAGGCACCACAGCTTTGTTTGTTGAGTACTTAGCTTTTGATGGGGATATTTGAAGGTTTCACAGATGGCACTTCCTTTTTTCTACCTGGAGACTGCCAAAGGATGGCAGCAAATAGGCAGACGTTAGAGGGACATCAGGGTGTGAGTAGAAGGGGTATGTGCAATAGAAGTGCTGGCATTGTTTTTCCTGTGTAAGAAAAGCCTACCATCCTGGAAAACAAACTATTTAGAATACAGTATTTTCTGCAGTTTGGTGCTGCTAAAAAATGCTGCACTGGCATCTCTGTAACATGATACTCCAAAAGCAAGAATACAGTTTGTTATTAAATCTGTGGCCAGTAGGACTTCATGGTGGTAGAGGAGACATCCTCAGCTATGACCAAGTGTTTAGTTTC